ACCATCATTCTTGAGCATGTCTACTTCCTTTATTTAAATTCTCATCTTTCACGTACCAAAAAAAGTTCAAGTAAGGATACTAACATTGTTGCCATTGTTTCAACCTTAATAAGTTGGGGTAATCATATGTTTTTCTATTATAATCTTATCAAAAAGTTAATATTTCATAAGGAAGATTACACGAGGTTATATGAAAAAAAAAAAAAACAATACAAGAATACTCTAGAAGTTGTAGTTCTTGGTAAAATTGGTTTTCTAGCATCAAATGAAAAACATATGTGTTTCCTTGAGATGAGTCATCTTGTAGCAAGTGCATATAAAATAGTTTTTATTTAGTTGAGAAAACTTGGTTTCTCATAAACTTCTTTTCCTCTATGAAGTGACCCGCCAAAAATTATGTTGGCCGAATTATATGTATTGGATGCATTTAAAAAATGAGGCATTTTGTATAAGTTAACTTGAATCATAGATCTCATCAACCACAAACATCTACATAACTTAGAGAACATGCCAAAGACGAAGAAGTTGGTTGAGAGTGTTCTTTCTTTTTCTTTTTTTCCGGTTAGGTTGGAGAAGTTTGGCAAATTGAATTATATTAAAAAGGAATTAAATAGTAAAAAGTCTAATGTATAATTTTCCATAGATTTAGATAATGTCGCTGATTTTTATGCAATTTTGTTTGTATAGTTAACTATGTGTATAAAATATTGCATTTATAAAAAAAATAAAAAATCTATTAAATACAATTTTAAGTTTGACTGGTTGTTTAAAAACGTGATAGGTTTTTAAATATTGCATTAGTAATAAAAAGGCAAGATGTTTTCGGATGTTGATATCTAGACAAATCCCAGATTGCGTTCATATACCAATGAATAACCAACATATTTTGTATGTATGATGTGTTTAGATGTTAGCATCCAAACAAACTCTTGACTTTTTTCATGTACCATGAATAACCAATATAGTTTGTATGCAAGGTTTACCTAGATGTTAATATCCAGACAGATCCCTGACCTGTTTCATGTATTGGGCATAACCAACATATTTAGTATGTCAAGTTTGTCCAGATGTTAATATGCAGACAAACCCTTGATTTAGATCAGGTACCAAGCCTAACCAACATATTTTTTAAGAAGGATGTGTTTGGATGTTAATATTTGTACAAACTCTGAACTCAATTCATGTACCAAGGAATAACAAACATATTTTGTATGCAGGGTATGTCCAAATGTTAATATCTGGACAAACCCTTGACTGTGCTCATGTACCAGACACAACCAACATATGTTTTATGTAGGGTGTGTCCAAATGTTAATATTCAAATAAATCCTCAAAATTATCATAAATTAAAACAACTCGACACTAAAAACCTTTTGTTTAAACACATAAAATCAATAATCATAGTTAAAATCAGTTATCATTCATACAAGCCTGTAAATAGATGCACATTACTTAAACAAAAATATCACATTAAAATCAACAATGTCGTGATTTATCATATATCCCAATGTCATGAATTGCAACTCAAAAAGTATACATAAATGCAAATAAAATAGTCTATCTATTGGTTTTGTCGCAAACCTCTGCTTCTTTTCTTGCCTCATACCTCTGCTTCTTTTTTGTCTCATATACTGAAGTACGCCAGGTGCCTCTAATAATATTGTTTGTATGGTGTCCCACTAAGGGATACCTTCTTGAAATTCTCCTTTAAGGGATTCTTTCTTGTATGGTGTCCCACTAGAAGCATCAAAAAACATGATGACACACGACAAATAGGAAACACATCCATAACATAGTTTGTCCTAGTTTGTTCCTCCTCAAAGATCTTCTGATGATTTGACCTTGGGACCTCCCTCTGAAGTTTGTGCCATATACGAGAGTGAAACTCTATAATAACATTGGAAGTAACTATATACAATATTCCATGGCATTTCATTTGGTACATTGAATATATGTTATTGTACCAAATGATCATGGTAGTGCACAAACATCCCATCAGCATCTCCAAGTTACACAATGGGAGGCGCGACTAATGTGTGTTCCCTAGGGATACTCTCCAAATATTTGAATTGCCTCAACAAGGGGTACATAAGTCAGACCCGGATGTCAGCCATGTAAAGTACCACCAAATCTCCTCTAAATGTTGTGTTTAATGGTGCTCTCCGTATGGGGTGAAATTGTCTCATTCCTCTGAAATACGGTAAATAGTGTGTCTATAAGTCTTAGTTGAATAATTCTCCTATATGGATTAATCCGGCAAGCACATGGCAATTCTTCTTCGTACTAAACAACAATCGACCACCCAAATATTTTAAGAAAATGTTGGATGATCCATGACTAAAAGTAGTTAAAATAAGATTCTTTGGTATCTATATACAAAAAAATTTCAAAAATAATATAAAATCAATAAGCTAGATGTATAATACTTGGAAAAACAATTGTTTTTTTGACATATGTCTTGTCTTCCATTGACTTGCTTCATCTAGCGTAGAGTACAAGTAAACCAAACAAGATGCTCCCCAATTATAATCATTAATTCTCTCAAGGTCTATGAAGTAATGAACATAGACAAAACCCACACATGTCTCAATTTAGTCCACATATAGGTTGTGTCAACCAAATAACAAAATCATGAATGCACATTGTCAGTGATAAGCAACTGATGCAACATCACCATAATGGATAACAACTGCAATCAAATGACCCTCATATGTTTTCTTTAAAAATAAAAATCGCATATACAATCCTTACTTATGACATAGCAGAAGACTTACATGGCTCAAGCATCTTAGCGAAAGACTTAAACTAAACTGCTAAAAAATATGTTCAGCTGAATAGAGAACAAAGTGTACTTGATACATGATCTGACCTGATCATAAGGGGATCACGTGCTGCCCACACTCGGTTGGACTGCTACCTGTTCACCGGTGATGAGGAGGAAAAAAATGGGGGTGTACCTGCAAGACACTCCGATGCCAAAGTAAGAATTTGGGCAGAGTGAGAGCAAAGTACAGAAATGGGGTAAGGAGTGAATTACCTGACCCTCTTGAGGAAGATGGTATTTATAGAGAGACCCCAGCGCTGGGCCAACGGTCACTTGTGTTGGGCTGGATGGCCAGGCCCAACCCAGGTGACTGCTAGGGCTTACGTGGCGTAGTGAAGACCAGGACGCGGTCTTCGCCCTAGTCCAACTGTCCCGTGGTCTACGGAAAGTGGGTTTGACCTGCTCTTTCGGAGGTGGGCAGTTGGGGGGATGGCGTGCCCCCGTGGAGGGGAGCACGTGGAGAACGTGCGCGTGGCACGTTGTTCTCCCCGCGGAGGGGAGCTAGCGAGGCTCTCTGTAAGTACGTTGTTCTCCCCGCGGAGGGGAGCACGCGAAGACGCGGAAGATCCATGAGGTCTTTCCCGACGACACGGGGAATACCTCCCGTGGAGGGCGTTCTGTCCGACTAGGGGGGAGCGCCGAGGACGCTTAGAAGCGCGTCGTCCTGCTTGACAGGGAGCGTGTCTGGCCCGTCTAGCGGGGGGTGCGTCCTCGGTCAAGCTGCCTCACTTATTGGGCCTTGTCTGTTAGTGGGTTGGGCCGCGAGGCCGGGCCCAGGCCAGAACACGTCATCCCATAAATCATGAATGCACATTGTCAATGATAAGCAAAATCATGGATAACAACTGATGCAACATCATGAATGCACATTGTCAGTGATAAGCAACTGATGCAACATCACCATAATGGATAACAACTGCAATCAAATGACCCTCATATGTTTTCTTTAAAAATAAAAATCGCATATACAATCATTACTTATGACATAGCAGAAGACTTACATGACTCAAGCATCATAGCGAAAGACTTAAACTAAACTGCTAAACAATATGTTCAGCTGAATAGAGAACAAAGTGTACTTGATACAAATATCAGAGGTACAGGGAAATCACCATAACAAAGACCTAAAGCTCTTAAGGTTTCTAAGATATTCAATGTTTAAGAAATCTTAAGGTTTTTACAATTACAACCTGCAATAGAAATTCCGCATACTCGACTGTGTTGATAATTGTTGATCTTATTACTCCTTCACCAGGTTGATCCTTGTTAAAGATTCAATTTGAACCTTCAGCTGCTTATATAGAATTTGCAGAAGACTAGCCGTTAGAGAGATAACTTGATCAAGTGTCTTTGTTTTCTTCATAGTACAAGAGACGTGGAAGATAGATACACAAAAATATCTTGATCCATTGTGTAACATGTTTAACCATTAAGTCTTCAAAGAGATCCTGTATTATAGAGCTGCTGTGAGTAGATATCTTTAAAATATGTCAACTTTTCTTGAGTCTTGTGAACTAAGACTCTAGCTAACAAATTGATTTGACAACGCAACTTGCTTTCTGCAGTACGGATAACTTCAGCTTTATCAATAACTTTGAATGATCACCATAAGCCAATTTACATTCACCAAGTATATAGACGATTATGTTGCTTCTTCTGATGCTGGGACCTTTAACTTCAGAGTCTACGCCAGACATCACTTAGAGAGTCTTCTTCAGATTCTGCACCACCAGAAGCTAGCAATTCAGCTTCTTTCAAGTGTGCCTTTGTATATCAGATTCTGAATATATATCTATAAGTATTAGAACTTGCATACATGAAACACACATCAAATATAACCATTGCTCATTTAATACTTTGTTATCATCAAAACCCAACGAGTATATGACATGAACAAATCTTATTCTAACAGATACATCTCCAGATATAGCTATGAGCGTTTAAAGTTTAAATAGTTTCGAAAATATATCTCCAAAATATGTTAACGTTTACTCAGAAGTGAAATGCGTCTTCAATTTAGTAAGTGAACAAAGATTCAACGTATTAAAATCACTCATTTGGATTAAGTTTTTATTTTTTAAAGTAAAAATAAAATAAAAGGAGGGTGTAATTTTGAAAAGAAAAAAAAAACAATTAAAAGAAGTAAATAGCAGTGAGAAATAAAAGGAATGAAAAAATGGAACCACGACGACAAGATCCAACGGCAAACAGAAGAAGACCGCTGTGGCGACCTATGGCGACGCAAGGCGAAGCCGGCGGCGCTGATGGCTCGGCGAAGGCCGTAGTTGCCGAACAAATAGCGCAGACCGTGCAATCCACATCAAACCTTCTTCACCTCATGCAACAGTCTTCTCCATCTCAGGTACTCTCTTCTCTTCCTCAATTTCATTCAAAATTAACAGAAAGAGAAATTGATTATGTTTCCGATGGATTTTAATTGAAAATTAATGTTCGGTGTGATCATATTAGCAATGTGACTGTTGATGTAGTTGTTGTTTGGTTTTAGGGTTTTGAGTATTGAGTATTTTGTAGGCTAAACTTGTTAAGCTTCCCAAGAACCTATTGGCAAAGGTTTCCATTATCAAGAACACAGAACAGGTAGTTGCATTAGTGTATTGTGGTTGTGAATTTGAGCAAATGTTTTGAGTGTGTGTAATAGTTTATGTTTTGTTGCACAGGTTTTAGAGCAGTTGCCTCGGGTAATATCTTCTCTGGATGCACATATGGAAAATGGGTTGCAAAAGTTAGTATCTTTTATTCTCTAATTGATTAATGATAATGATTATTAATATGCTGTACTATGATCATCATATATATACATATTTTGAACAGAAGCTGGATTTAAAGTCTTGTGATTATGAATGGCCTTTAATTTTGTGCTAAAATTGTTATGTTCATCTTGAATATGTATTGTACTGTGGCTGCTGATGGGAAGCAGTGTTGTTAGTTGCAGATCACGAAAAATATTCTATTTGTGTTACGCAATAGGACTATAGCACCTCTATATTTGCTATTTAAAAACACTTTTATTCTCAACTGCGTATTGTGGAACAATACTGGTTTGTTCAAATTCTGCTAAGCTATAGCTGCTATTTGACAACACTGATTGGAAGGTGCTGCAGTTTTTTCTTTTAATTTTGTATCAGTGTATATGTCATTTTCTTAAAATAGCTGATGTGAGTTGGAAATTTGTAGTGTTCCACAATTGAAGACTGTAGTTCAGTTACTTGCAAATATGGAAAGTAGCCAGCTTAGTTCACTATCCCGGACTCATGTTCTTGAGAAGGTATGGATATAACAAGTTTGTTGCTGATGTTGTTATGAATATTTGCCTGATGATTGAAATTGAGGTTTAATATAGAGAATTTATATGTTATAATTGGGTAAATCTGGTAACAAGAAGCTGATAGGAGGGTTTAACATGCAGAGTATTTGTTGTTCATCTAAATCTAATGCTGTCTATAATGAAACGATTTCTGTCACAGAAGAAATAAAGGAAGGACACTTATTTTAAGAAAACCATGTGCGTGAGATCAACTTTTAATAATGAATTGGTGCTAAGTACGACTGATCATTTTCTATTTGTTTTCCCTCCCCTATCAGGAACATGAACCTGAAAACTAGTCGCAAGGGACTTAATATTGAAACTCTCGTTGTTTGCAAGTTTGACCTCTGATCGGTTCGTGCAGAATTTTCTGAAGCTTTCGTTTGATCATCCTTGATTTTATTATAGCAGCTATGTTCACTTGTCTGTCTGCAATTCAAATAACAAAATGCTGTCCCACCTTCCTATAACGGAAATGGTGGTTCAACTGTAGAAAGCTGTCAATATTGAGTTATGACAATGTGCCAAATTTCCAGACTGGGAACATTGTTCAATGGGTTCAAGGTCAGGCTATTAGCTGATTGATGGATAACAATTGTCAGCATATGTGTGTGTACACAATTTCGGTTTGTATTTTTTGGTTTTTCAATTTTGATGAATTGAACCTTGCAGACACTAGTCTCTATGATAGCACTTCTACTACTACCTAAGACAGCATAGATGGCTGTATCCCAATGTTTAATATATCACTGTTAAACTCAACAATCATTTTTTATCCCATGATATTTAAACTGTTTCTGTATAACAAATGCAGTAAATAACTCTGCTATCCAAAATTTTAAATTCACGAGCTATGGCATGTTTTGATTCATTTTAGCATGTCTTCGTAATGGATATGGCATGTTTTGATTCATTTTAGCATGTCTTCGTAATGGATATAGCCCTCCAAGATCTTAGATCCTGCTTCAATGAGTTTTATTTGATTCCAACCACACAATTAAAAAAAACAAAGGATTTGGGTAGGTGGTTGTTAGCAAATCTACACATTCACAAACTCAGTACTCAGGGCGTCGGTTACCATAAATTGAAATCAAACCATCCAGATCACAATCTCATATATTGAAATCAGGACCGTCTGATCTTGAACCAATGATTACTAATATGTCGATAATCAAACTGGTTGCAAACATGGATATGTCTAGCTACATAATTTTGTATTTAACAGCAGACCAACATGTTTTACTCTCGCCCAAGTAATTTTGCAATGAACATGTCAAGATGGTTTTCTCATTTATTGAGAATAGCATTAGTTAGAGGACTTTATCAGAAGCAGAAAATAACTTGATGAAACTATCTGCAATGTTCTAAAAAAGAGGGATAATAATTCCACCACTCAGAAAATAACAAATTCAATTGAAAACAATTGTCACTAATTCAGTATTGTGTCACAAAAAGGCTATAAATATTCAAAAAGAAAAGTTTTAAAATTAATATTTACTCTCCTCCCATTGAATCCGCACCTTCTCAATATATTCACCCACCTACTCAGACTCATCTCTCTCCATTCAACAATCCACTGGCATTCCTCAATCACCTATCCTTACACCCTCTAACACACTAACATTTAATCCTTCACCCTCCATACTTAACCCTTTTGAATCTTTATCCTCTACCATACATTCATCTATACTTGAAACCATTCCTCAACCAATCCCTGGTGATGATCTTGAATCTCAACCTTCATGTGTTGAGTTTCCTCCAAACTTTAAGCTTTCAATAATTGGATCCTCCAACCGAATTATTAAAGAACTCTCAAAACAATTAGTTGTCATAGTATCTGATATTAACCTTACCTTCCTCGAATATCACTATAACTGAACTACCACTAAACCAACCAAACAGTTTTATCATCGGTTAAAAGAAATTATAAGGATATTTTTTTATGATAGATTAATTATAAGCGATACATTTTGATGATAGATTAATTATAGAAAATTTCCGTTTTATTATAGCTTTATTAAAGAAGATTTACAATACCAAATAAACTAGTGTTGAGTTGTACATATATATTTCCATATTGTATTCTTTGAAGTACGATGCAAATAGAATCACACTCTGATACGCAGTATTTTCCAATTCCACCTTCTGCTAATATGGTATACAAAGCATAGGTCGATTCCCAATTTTTTTTCTTTTTTTTCTTCTTTTCTACAACATTTGCATATCTGCTTGCCTATCTGTCTCCTTGCTCTGCCTGTTTTTTTTTTTCTGTGCAGACCTGTACAAACTCAGTCCTCTATTATCATGTTCATCTTTGCATCATGGAGAAAACTGAGATTGTTAAACTCATTACAACCATCTTGATCGGACCAAACTACAATCTTTGGGTTCAAGGAATGAAGAGTTTTCTGATTGGACACAAGCTTTGGTGCATAGTCATCGGAGACGTCGTCAAGCCAACTCAAGAAAAAGATGAATCTACTACGAAATTTGCTGAACGCCTTGAGGATTGGGATAGTAAAAATCACCAAATCATCACGTGGCTGCGCAACACGTCAGTACTATCCATTCACATTCAGTTTAATAATTATGATTTTGCAAAAGAAAATTAGGATTTCTTGAAAAACCGCTATCAAACCACTAGACTTGCACACTATTATCAGTTATGGACCACACTTCACAATACCAAGTAAGAACCTGGTCAATCAGTGAATGATTTTCTTGCTAAAGTTCAACCAATTTGGCATCAAATATCTCTGGCTAAAATCATTGAAGACCATCTTCATCTCATTCAAGTCCTTATGGCTCTTCGTCCTGAATATGAAGTCGTACGAGCCTCACCGCTGCATCGAAATCCGCTTCCATCATTAGACACTGCTATTTAAGAAATCATTTTTGAAGAAACACGTCTTAATCTAGACAAAACTCCTCAAATGGATGTTGCTCTTGCAACTACTCGATTCTCACACCAGAAATCAAATCATCATCCATGTAAGAATTGCAATTGCACTGATCATATATTTGCTAATTGTCCTACTATAGAGTGTAGGTACTGCCATGGTATTGGTCACATTCTTGAACATTGTCTCACGCGACCTCCAAAACAAAATTGTGGCTTCACAAAATCCAAGAATGTTCCAAAATCTGGATCTTCCTCCATCTCTGCTGCTTCTAGGGGTGGAAATAAGGCAGACTGATAATAGGGGCCTACGGGCCTAGCCTACACAGGCTCAAGTTAGGCCAAACTTTTTTTTTTAAAATAGAAAAGGCCTAGGTTTTTTTATAAGCCTATTTAGTTAAAAAAATAAAATAAAGCTAGGCCTCAGGCCATGAAAAAAGCATTTTAAGCCTAACAGACCGGTCTATTTAAATAAATATGAATAATTTTTTTATTATCATTATGTTATGTTTTGTACTTTGAATTAAAATACATAAATAAAAATTGGGTATCTTGGAGAACTTATGAAAATAAGATGAAAACACCTTATGAACAATGTTATAAGTTATTTTCATAAGTTATCTTAAACAAATAATCTCATAAAACTTATGCTAATAGGTAAATTAAAATAAGTCAATGTAAACAAACTTTTAGTCTCATTGGTTTTTTAGTTTGTTAGTCTATTTAAAATACAGACTTTTATGTAGGCTAACAGACTAACCAAACCTTAGAAAATGTCAGACTTGGGCCTAAAAATAAGTCTATGACAGGCTACAGGCCAGACTTAGGCTTCAATTTTTTTGGCAGGCCAGACTCAGGTTGACAATGCCTAGCTCGGTCTAGCCTATTTCCACCTCTAGTTGTTGCCACTGAGGGTTAGATTGCCATTACTATGAGTGATATTGAAGCTTTAATTAAACAGGTTATGTCTTCCAACACCTTTATTGTCATGTCTGGTACTAACGGTAATTCTCGTTGGTTTTTTATTCTGCGTGTAGTAATCATTACCTTCTGCGGCACTTGTTTCATCTCTGCCACCAATCCATACAACCAGTGGAAATACAATGAACATCACTCATATCGGTCATGTATCCACCTTAAAGCTCTCCTTCGTGACACATATTACATTCCTAACTTGAAACTTAATCTTATTTCTATTGGTCAATTGTGTGAATAAGGACTGAATGTTTATTTTTCTCCCTCTGATGTTCAGGTACATGATCCATAAACGAAGCAGATCATTGGGACAAGTCGCAGGGTGGGTTGGTTATTTGAGATACAATCTCTTCACCTTCCCAAAGAACATATCTCTACTGCTACTCTGAATTCTCCAATTCATCAATGGCATCTTTGACTTTGGTCACGCCTCAGCAAGCAACATTCAACCTCTAATCGTAATTTTTCTATTTCACATAGTCCTTTTGATTTGATTCATTCAGATATTTGGGGGCCTTCTCCTATTTCTTCAATGAACGTTTTTCGTTATTTTGTATTGTTTATTGACGATTTTTCTCGGTTTAGATAGATATATTTTTTGAAAAATCGCTCTTAATTACCTCAAATTTATGTTTCCTTTGCCCGTATGGTTAAAACACAATTTTCTTGTGCTATTACGATTCTTCGCACAGACAATGCAATGGAATATCGTGAATCTTCCTTGCTTCAGTTTCTCAGTCAGTAAGGAACTGTGGTTCAACGTTCATGTCCTCGCACCTCTTAACAAAATGGTCGGGCTTAACGAAAACATTGTCACATCCTTGACTCATTTTGTGCTCTTCTCCTCTCAGCCTTGTGTTCAGAGAAGTTTTAGGGGGAAACAACTCTTTATGTTGTCTATACAATTAATCGACCTCCCACCATAAATCTTCAACACTTATCTCCTTTTGGAAAACTGTTTGGCAAGTCTCCTGAATATTCCATTCTTAAACATTTTGGATGTGCTTTTTTTGTTCTCTTGCAGCCTCATGAGCGCACAAAATTACAACTGCACGCTTGCTTATGTTGCTTTCTTGGTAATGGCACAAAACACAAATGATATCGTTGTTGGGATCCAATCTCCAACATATTATGCATATCACATCATGTTACCTTTTGGGAAAAATCGTGTTCTCCTCTCTTTCTACATTTCATCATTCTCTTAGCACTGACTCATTTTATTTCATTGATCCCTCAGTTGAATTATTTCCAAGTTCTAATGCAGATAACTCGAATGACCTAAATACTCGTCCCCCCTCACCTGCTCCAACTGAACTTGTTCCAGATGTTGAGCTTAATACTCGTCCACCCTCACCTGCTCCTACTGAACCTGTTCTGGATGTTGACACTGTACCTGTATCTCGTCATTTCACCCGAGTAAGTAAT